GGGGGGGAGGGGGGGGGGTGGCGACGAAGGTTGTGAGGGAGGCTCGGAGGCTGACGCCGACTGCGCCTTGGTGCCGAGTGAAGCGCTCACCTGCACACCAGAGTCGCGCAAACTCCGGAGCTGCTCCACTCCCACAAACACGGTACCTTCCAGCCGTAGTCTGACCCAACAGAGAAAAGGACAAGGAGACGTCACACAATTTGGGGAGAAGATTTTAGGGCTCTCCCTTTTGTCTTTGTGGTTGCTCGCCCAGGCTGCTGTGGCTGTCGCTCGCTTCGTCCGCCGCGATGAGGACTGACCTGGCTCTGTTCCTGACAGCAGCCCTTCTTCTTGACACATTCCGGGTGAGATTTATTCTTATTTCGCTACATGACACTCTCTTTAAGGAGCATTATAATGTTAAACGGTGCTGTTTAAAAGCGTTAAACCCCAGAGGGAATAAAGTCACGCGGTAGGATGGAGTCGGTCGATTCTGTGTGCGTCTGCAGTGGCGCTCATTTCCAACAAATACTATGACTTGTCAACCAGTTCCGAAAAGAATTTTAATTGGCAAGACAACAAAAATATATTGGAGATGAAGGGATACTGCAATTGATCATCAACTTGGTTTCTGATCTCGGCAAAGAAACGCTAAATGTACACTATAGCTGCAACAAGGCACATTTACGCGGCGAAATCATGATTTGAGTTCAGGCTATACCTTTTTGTTCATTCTGGTAGTAGTAAAGGTGATGTATAATCGCGTACACTTTGTACAAGTTTAACCTCTTCTCATTTTCGAAACGGACATGTTGGCCCAATGCATTAAAACTACGTATCAAGTTGTTTCTTGCACAGCAGCCTTTTCATCATCGTGTATTTTCAAGGATGTCACTATCAGCCTGTGTGATGTAGAAAACGACATGTTCCGACATTATTATTCCCCAGCCTGGATGTTCTCACTTGAACGCAATTTCTCTTATTAATTAAAGTCACCATGCAGCCTCCAGCCTTGACGCCGAAATATGACTTTACGCACATTCAGTGGCCCTAATGCCCTGGTCCATATCGTTTCATTTACAGACACTGGACCCGCTGGGTGTAAAGTTTGTAGGTAGAGGCACATGCAGTGTCAACATTCCCAAACCACTTTTGCTGCACGTTTTTTTTTACATAGGTGTTCACGTGCTTGGGACTAATGTGCGCACCTTTACACATTAAATCCCCAGAGCACAGCAGGGACCACATTTGTGAAAGTCCTATTGAAAATGTTTCTTCTCAAGACTATATTGAAAGTTAACCCCAGCATTCAGTCTTTGTTGCTAATTTCGACCCTCTCGAAGCAAACAGAGAACAAAACCATACTGTAGAATTATTTGCATCTCACACTGTTTAATTCCTTTCAGGTGAATAATGGCCAGCATTCACCTAAAGGTCCTTGTCAACCTGGCTTCTCTCAAAGCTTCTATTCTGTCTTGATTCCAAGGGATACACTACAAGGCCAGGCCATACATAAAGGTAAGGACATCTTTCTTTTGAATTTGGTCAAAAAGATGTAACAAGAACCCCCTCCCTGAAGTCGCATCAAAATAAATACTGTGTTCAAAAGAAGGACTGAATATTTTGATTATTGGTGTACGGAAAACCTTGAGGGGGTATTCGGCCGCATGCTCTATGTGAGTCATCATGTACAGTACCAATGCCATTGCATGGTGGCCCCCCGCATTGATTAATTTAATAGTCAACGTTGTCACACCACGACGTCTTAAGCGGCACCGTTTGCTGCTCCAATTACAGAGCCAGCCCAGCAAGTTTTCGAGCCGATAGTGCAGGAAATGGAATCGACATCCTGTGTCTAATCTGGCACCGCTCCTGCCAGTGTGGACTAATTGCAATTCTCTATTGATCCCTTTGCTTTTCCCCTCATTGCTCAGGGGTATTGTTTAGCTGTGGGCACACAATAGCTCCTTTTGTGTCTCGCCCATGTTGTCGGCATTTGCACGGTACATGTATCTTGTTCTCTTTGACCGGAACAATCCTGGTCAGGAGACAGCTCTCTAGACTCTCTCCCAAATGTGCACAAGTGTGTATAGACTGTGAGGTATACAATATTGGACACATATTATTTTGGTGGGGGGATCTTAACGAGGAGCTCAGGGATTGCTGTGTCTTAAACTTCATCCTATTGAGGCCTGGCTTCAAATGAAATTGGATGACAGGCATCTACACACTTGCTGCAAGTGAACTTGCATTATTTGTGGTAGTGAAGTCTTCGGTCCAGCAGGGGGTGTCACTACAATCACAAACAGTCACAATATGTGTGTTGTTGCCTTGCATCCTTTCCCTTGTACAGTTATAGTTGGGTCTCAATCAGATGCACGTGTGCCTGAAACAATGGTGTCTCGTCAAGTAGTAATAGGGCTGCACTGGGTTTGTAGGAACTCCATTTATCAACTTACTGTACTTACTTCAATGACCACATTCAGTCGAGGTAAGTTGATTTGCCTCAATGTGAATTTGTGCTTTTTATTTATTTATTTATTTATTTTTAGTGGTTTCTTTCTAAATTTACAGCATTTAATTTATGGGACCTTTGTTATAAAATCAGAATTTCAATGTTTTTGATGAATTACAAATACTACCTACTGTTGCTTTTGCAGTTAATAATGAATGATTATTTGATTGCTTTGTTGTTGATAATTTGTGTAGGTTTTTGTTTTAAACTGCTCTAGTAGCCTTCTGTCAAAAGTCAGTATCAAGCTTCAGCAACATATCGGGGGAGGAGGAGGTCGAGTGACAAAACAATTTTTAAAAATCGTACAAATCAATTTTAAACTGTCATTATTAAGACAAATAACTGCATGATTGTCCTTTTTTAATATGGATGTAAATAAACCAAGAGATGCAGGGCCTGATTTACTGAGATTCCAAAGAAAGGGTACAAAATTGCATGTTCACGCTCAACAGAACACATACACCGTTTGTTGGCATCTTGCTATAATTGGCACCTTTTACTAAGATTCTAAACAGCAAGCGGTAAATTTCATGGCCACGACGTCAAATGACCCGCACAAAAAAAATAAAAGATAAAAAAATGACGTCAGGTGGCACTGTGTGTACGGTCCCGCTTGTAGGCAGTACATACTTGTTGCATATGGATACAAAAATCTGAATTGACCTGCAGTATGAATAGCTTGTCAGTCCCAATATGGCAAATATAATACTCTAGCATCAGACAAAAACTACACTGAGACACACACTCACAAACAAACATACACACACACACACACACACACACACACACACACACACACACACACACACACACACACACAGACACACACTCCAAGCTGTATGTCACCTTCATGTGCCGGAGAACATACTGTAGCTGCAGGGGCTTGATGCAAGCATGCACAGAAGTACCATAAGGGATAAGGTAGCCACACACTTCAGACCCTTGATTTATTGACTTTAAGGGTGACAATGGAGGGAAGCGCGGAGTCTGTGGGGGCTTTAATAAAAACATTGTTTCACCTAAAACTGTCAGTTGTGGGCAGGGATAACACCAAGATACACATACACACTTCTGGTTTCCATGTGTCATGGGGACTGTATGCTCATGAAGCGCTTCATTGGAATCTTGCCCAGAGGTTTCTTTTTCACTTTGCCCACCCACCGCTTCTAATAGGATCACCACACAATAAACTCGAATTGAATAAAGCTTTATTGATCACAATGGATTCTTCTGTCATGCCAAAAGAAATTTCTGGTCCATCTCAGTGCCCATGATGTTTAACACAGTCAAGTAAGTAGTTGTGTGGTTACACAGCCTTGTGAAAGTGATATGGGAAACTTTGCAGCACAAAGATTTGCATGGGCAATGAGGCACTCTGAAACCCAAAAAGGTGTCATGGCATACTGTTTATCTCCAAGAAGGCAGGATTATTTTTCCACTTCGGGGAATATCCAGTTTTTTCACACTTGATGTAATTTGAAATGTTTCACATCAAAAACATCTCTCGGTCTTTGTATTCTACACAGACACTATTTCCAGCTATTATATGAGTGAGGTTCAAAAGTTAAGTGGATCCAGGTGAACTCCAGAATTTGACAATCATGAAGTCCACAACTGTAATCCCGCTGAGTGGTTCGATTTAACCTCCATTAGTCTGGAAAAGCCCTGCAAGCCAAATTTCATGCATAGACACGTACAAATGGCACCGATGAATTTGTGTGACTCGATTTTATTGTATTCGATGCAGAAAAGTATCCGACTGCAACACGCACAGAATAGTAATGGTGCTGTAAATTGTTAAACGATCAATATTCTTGTCTCTGGGAAGACAGGTGACAGTCATAATCCCTGTGCATGTTGGTTGGATAGTCACCTTTTTCGTGTACCTGCATTTCATTAAAATTATGAAAGCTAATTTGTTCGCACACACTTGCATATACACATACTCACTCTTTACAGCCAATAATAGGATCTCCTTATTTTCCCTCACATTATCTGGAATATTACAATGTCAAATGTTCATATTAGGTGATAATAATTATCCAACCATCCATCCATTTTCCAATCCGCTTTTATCCTCACAAGAGTCGCGGTGGGTGCTGGAGCCTATCCCAGCTGTCTTCGGGCAGTAGGAGGGGGACACCCTGATTGCCAGTCAATCGCAGTGCACACAGAAACGAACAACATTTCCGTGCTCACACTCAAACCTACGGACAATTTGGAGTGTTCAGTCAGCCTGCCATGCATGTTATTGGAATGTGGGAGGAAATTAGAGTACCCAGAGAAAACCCACGCAGGCACGGGGAGAACATGCGAACTCCACACAGAGAGGCTGGAGCCGGAATCGAACCCTGCACCTCAACACTGTGGGGCCAATGTGCTAACTAGTGCCGCCTTCATTTATTCATTTGAGCTTGAAAATGTTATTCCCAGGGCCGGGATCATGACCTTTGCACTGCGAGGTCGACGCGCTAACCACTCATCCACCGGGCCGCTGTGATCATAACTAAAGGAGGAAAATTGTCCACGTATGGTAAAGTCATCATTGTGAACAATGAGATCAAATTGCAGTCTGCTTTGAATGCTTGGTTCTCAATCGATTTTCCTGCAATGGAGTCATTTGCTTGGGCAGTACTCTGGTCTCCAGAAGTTGGCCCAACCTACCAGAAAAAAACAAAAAAAAAGTAGTCTCATAGGGACTGACAGGTTGGAGCGAGTTAATTTTGCTGCAAAGAGTTTCATGTTTTTTTTTAAACTCTTGTCAAGTCAAATCGGGTGTATTTATATTTTCATCTCCTATACTTCAGTGCCATGATATTTGGAGTAATTTATGTAACTTGGCCCAGTCCAGTCTCGCACAAATAATCAGAGCCAGCTCACAAAATCTTATCCCACGTCCTCCTTCCAATTGTTGAGTGTGCTCTAGGGATAGTGGTGACCTCTTAGTAGGTTGCTCTGCTATGCTTGAATTGAGTTGTGTGGTTTGGACTACCCCAGCGTTTTGTGTGCATGACTGAAGTTGTGTGTTTCAATGGCACAACTTGGTAGATTTAAATTCGACTTTCAGTTGACAGTAGTTGTGTGCAATACTGCATAGTTTGCTATCCAGCCGGTACCACGAAAATAGTAGAAATAATGTTGATGCTTCATCAAAATGCTAAATCACAATTTGCATGACCTTCAAGTGAGTTTGATGTTTCCTTTTTTATTATATAAGATTTAAAAGACAGGACATAATTGGGACCATTTTTTATTGGTAAATAGAAAATCATCCTCCCCCCATACAAATTCAGTTTCTGGATTATTTTTTTCTTACATCAACAAAGTTCACAAAGTGATCCCTCAAAAAAAATAATCCACAAAAGTTTGGGGGGTTCCCATCGGGTCTTCATTGAGATTGTGTGCATGCTCATAGATTAAAGCTCCACCCTCACACTTAAACATGCAATATGCTGCCATTCACCTGAGGTAGAAACAGTTCAGATTGAAAGTGATGCTTTCCTCTGTGACCTACGCCTTGATTCTGTCATTTACCACATGGTCTGTTCTGCCATTTACCTCCATGTGGAACGTCTAAAGATGGTGGAGGAGGCTTTGCATTTCTAACGTAACAGCCCAGCAAAGTATGTGATAAGGGCTCGCTATGGTAACGACAAGATATGACTCACCTAATTAAAGAGAAATTATCAACATTATTTTGAAGCTTGTTGTTTTAACATTTCAATCTATTCTTAGCTTCGATGTCTGCAGCTTTCTGATTTAAGAATGAAAGTATGTTGATTTTGCCTTCCATTGAGAGTCATTACAGCAGAACCACAAAGTCAGATTTGGGAGTCGAGATATGCTTTTAAAGATCGTTTCACAGGAGCATGAATAAAAGAGCTCATTGCTCTGCTGGGACTGACAATGTATCAGTTTTCTTTCCACCCTATCCTCAAAGAGAATTGCCCTTGTTTTGATTCCCTGCTTACCTTTTGCCCTGAATCACATGACGCAGACTGCA